CTGCTAAATTAGGGACGGCTAGCGCAGATAGCCTTCGTGTAGCTTTGCGCGAAATTCCAAAACAAACAAACTTTCTGGTAATCAAATAATAAAAATCAACGGAGCATTCTTTATCTTAATCTAGGGTATTTTTCCTAAACTTTAACAGAGAAGTGATGATTATCATTAAATATTGAAATTTGGTTTGTTACCTTGCATTCATTTGTTACTTTCATCATGACAGGACATTAAGTTTTAACAATGTAACTATAAAATGTTTGAAAATGGAATACTACATCGAAATGAATTTCTTTTAGATTAATTAACAAGTCGGCAAGAATATCTATGACTAGGAATGCAGTCTGGGCTCTGTCTAACCTTTGCAGAGGGAAAAATCCACCTCCAAAATTTGAAGAGGTAATGTTTTTATCAAGTTCATCCGTGCAACTCTTAAGAGTGAAAACATTGAAATGGAATATCACTAACTTGTTCAAACTTACGATTGATGTTTGGCTATTAATTAAATAAAAGCGGTAATATTGTTGCAATCCAAATCATGACAGATACATATTCATTTCTCATTTCATTGATTTATTGATTAGCAACATCCCTTTTTGTACCATGTTTTAGGTTCTATGCACTGTTATTTTCAGTTAAATATTTTCTTTCTTGTGTTTTGTAGAACAGCTTCACCTTTGTTGTTCACACTGTAGGTGAGTTAGAACAGTTTCGTCATTGTTGTTCACACTGTAGGTGAGTTAGAACAGTTTCGTCATTGTTGTTCACACTGTAGGTGAGTTAGAACAGCTTCACCCTTGTTTTTCACACTGTAGGTGAGTTAGAACAGCTTCAACCTTGTTTTTCACACTGTGGGTGAGTTAGAATAGCTTCATCCTTGTTTTCACACTGTAGGTGAGTTAGAACAGATTCACTCTTGTTATTCACACTGTAGGTGAGTTAGAACAGCTTCACTCTCATTATTCACACTGTAGGTTAGTTAGAACAGTTCACTCTCATTATTCTGCACTGTAGGTGAGTTAGAACAGCTTCACTCTCATTATTCACACTGTAGGTGAGTTAGAACAGCTTTACCCTTGATATTCACACTGTAGGTGAGTTAGAACAGTTTCACTCTCATTATTCTGCACTGTAGGTGAGTTAGAACAGCTTCACTCTCATTATTCACACTGTAGGTGAGTTAGAACAGCTTTACCCTTGATATTCACACTGTAGGTGAGTTATAACAGTTTCACTCTCGTTATTCTGCACTGTAGGTGAGTTAGAACAGCTTCACTCTCATTATTTTGTACTGTAGGTGAGTTAGAACAGCTTCGCTCTCATTATTTTGTACTGTAGGTGAGTTAGAACAGTTTCACTCTCATTATTTTGTACTGTAGGTGAGTTAGAACAGCTTCATTCTTGTTATTTTGTATTGGAGGTGTGTTAGTACAGCTTCACTCTCGTTATTTTGTACTGTAGGTGAGTTAGAACAGTTTCACTATCGTTATTTTGTATTGGAGGTGAGTTAGTACAGCTTCACTCTCGTTATTTTGTACCGTAGGTGAGTTAGAACAGTTTCACTCTCGTTATTTTGTACTGTAGGTGAGTTAGGACAGCTTCACTCTCGTTATTTTGTACTGTAGGTGAGTTAGAACAGTTTCACTCTCGTTATTTTGTACTGTAGGTGAGTTAGAACAGCTTCATTCTTGTTATTTTGTATTGGAGGTGTGTTAGTACAGCTTCACTCTCGTTATTTTGTACTGTAGGTGAGTTAGTACAGCTTCACTCTCGTTATTTTGTACTGTTGGTGAGTTAAAACAGCTTCATCCTCTAAACTGCCTAAAACCTTCAGACTGTGTTTCCTGTAAATATATCTTGATGATTCATCTTCAGTTTTGCTGTTGCGGTGTACGACTGAGCACTCTAGGTGTAACAGGGTTCTCTTACTACCCCTATTCAAAGGATGGAAGGGCATTGCCCATTTATGTTAGGATCTGAAGGTACACCATAAACGAATGGTATCAGTTTGCTGCTGAAGTTGGTGTAATTGTATGAACTGGTACAGATGTACTGCTTTTGGTTATTTTATCAGAAAACCTCATGTAGCATAAGCTGTCAAGCCTAATGCCTTTTTCACCATCATATATGCCTTTTCTTCATTTTAACACTAAAAATGGTTAGCACGTTCCACACGTGACTGATGAAGCTGAATTATGAAGTGTTGTATAGAACTAACTTAACAAAAATCTCGGTTATAGGGAATCTTGTTGTTGTTTAACCTAAAACGGCACATGATAGAAACAGTATTTTCTGTTTACAAGAGCTTTATGGGAGTCTCAGAATCCTTTCTCCACCACATTTCTATAGAACGGAAACTCAGATGTAAAATGTGTTGTAGGTTTAATTTTCTGTGAAATCCACAACTTTGAACATAATATTCGTAATGATCCTCGTTTTTTAATGACATTTTTTAAATAAGATCATTTTATGTATGAGTAACAGTTGCATTTACCTATAGGTTAGCTTCAAATGTTCAAACCAGATATATTAAAAAAAATAATAACAGTTTAAGCTCTTACTGTATACAAGTTAATACTAGCTGTATAACTGTTCCTATATGGCATATCATTGTCATTAATTATGTTGATTTTTATTTACTTTTTGCCTATAATTATGACCGTTGCAACTTCCTTTTAGGCTTTCACAGAATATTAAACTTTTATCTATTACTTCCCGTTTCATGTGTTTTGTTGAGTGAGAAAAAATTATAATTAAAGTTGTATTGATTGTGTTCGACATACAAGAAATAATGTGTGTAATATATTGTTTTGTTGAGTGAGAAAAAATTATAATTAAAGTTGTATTGATTGTGTTCGACATACAAGAAATAATGTGTGTAATATATTGTTTTTCTTTTTTATTACTTTTAGCATTTTTATATTTAATCATAGTGCTGTTATTTTAGCTATTTAATGCATGATTAAGGTATTCGTTTTATCTATTATTTGTTATCTAGTATCTTCATAAACATTAGTTTTTGGCTATACTATTGGTAACATCCTGCTACTTGACTCCACTCCTAAACAGTAACACGTGTTATAGCAGTTTTATCTCTGAAGTCAGTTACACTGTTGGAATCACTTAATGAGTTTCCATTGGTCACAAGAAGATTTTAGGAAGGATTGTGGAAAGTTTTACTTATACACGGTCGTACTGGTGTTATATTGTTGGATGAAAATTAATTGTAAGACAGTACTTGAAGCTAACACGTAGTGTTTGTGTGTTCCATAAGTAAGGTATTCCCTATTATTCCTTTATTGTTACTCTCGTTAATAGTATTGGTTAGAATGTTTAACATGTAATTTTATATTTAGAATCTTTCATTATTATAATTTTATTATAGATTGTTTTATTAACTTCATATATGCGGAATAATCCAAATTTCTTTGGCTGGCTAGATTGTGAAGTATTATTGAATTTATAGCCAAAAATGTCGTTAACCCACCACAAGAAACGATGCTTAGCTTTATAAGTAAGAATATAAGAAAAATATATTTAATTAGCTATACTCATTACCTGGTTTGTCGTTAGTTTCGCTTTCTTGCTCTGATCGGAAGTTAATATTAATTAAAGTGTAATTTTAGTTTCATAAAATAAAAAAAATGAGTACCTCTGATTTTATTAAATTTTGTAAGTAATTTTTTTATTGGTTTACATTCTGCGTGGTGATAATTTTGATTATATTTTCAGGTATCTAAATGTTTACCAGTTCTAGCCAGGTTGTTGTTCCATAGTGATGACAGTATCCTAGGTGATGCTTGCTGGGCCTTGTCCTATCTCTCGGATGGTCCTAATGAAAAGATTCAAGCAGTTATAGATGCTGGAGTTTGCAGGCGTCTCGTGGAACTACTGATGTATGCAGAATTTCATGTTTAATTTTTCCGGATTTATATTATTGTATACATTGATGTTGTAAAAAAATCTGATAAGTAAAGTATGCCTATGTACATATATGATGTTATTGTACTTTCTATTTGACTTATTTCCAGAGTTAGTTCGAAACTGTTAGATAATGTTTCGTTACATGCCGTCTTGGTATTTCTAGAAGCATTCCTTAAACTT